AGGGAGGAAAGGAAGGGAGAGAGGGAGGAAGAAAGGAAAGGAGGGAGGAAGGGGAGTTTGAAGGGAAGAAGGTAGGGAAAGGGAGGAAGGATTGAGGGAGGGAGGGAAGAAAGGGAGGAAAGGAAGGGAGAGAGGGAGGAAGAAAGGAAAGGAGGGAGGAAGGGGAGTTTGAAGGGAAGAAGGTAGGGAAAGGGAGGAAGGATTGAGGGAGGGAGGGAAGAAAGGGAGGAAAGGAAGGGAGAGAGGGAGGAAGAAAGGAAAGGAGGGAGGGAGGAAGGGGAGTTTGAAGGAAAGAAAGTAGGGAATGGGATCCTCTGGGATTGGGCGGCCTATAAATTTAATAAACAATTAAACAGTTAATCACACCCAAAACTTCTGATGCTAAGGGAGACATTTGTTAAGCGAGTTCTGCTTCGCTTTATGACCTTTCTCGCCGGCTGTTGTTCAGCTAACTCAACTCACTTAAGAACACTTTTTTCCGGAGTCTCGACCTCTTTATTTTTCATACCGCGGCACCCAAAATTGGATGCAATATTTTCTAAGTGTGATCTCACGAAGGCCCTGTGAAGCGGTATTAACACCTCCTACCGCTCTTCTAACGGTTTCCCATAATTAGCGGGAGTTGAGTCAAGAACGGGGAGGCTTGGGGAGGGGTGTGTGTGTGGAGAGACGCAGAGAGACAGAACCGCGTCTGGGAAAACTGCGAGATCACATCGAGGGGGGGCCTCTGACCAAAGCTATCCCCAGGCAGAGTCTCTTGCTCGCTCATCCTCCACGCTCATCCTCCACGGAGGAAGTGCAAAGACACACTTCTGCAAACGATCAAAGGGGGGGGGGGGTGAACTCGCTGCTCAGCCAGTGCCTTGTGACGCAAGGACAAAGAACCTCAAAGCCGGAGGGCACTGCACTTCGGAAGACGGGGCGCTTTCTTCCCTGACCCAGAAAATCGAAATTAGCGCAAGGAAATGGAAGTCGGTTTTCAAAAAAAAAAAGAAGAAAGGGGGGGGGGGGGGGGGGAAGTACGCCTCCCCAAAGTTGCGTGCAAAGAACAAACGACTGGGAAAAAGCTGTCCTTCTCTGGTTTCCATAAAGTGGGGGGGGATGAGTTATGGAAATGTTGGGCTCAGGTGTAACCTGCAAAAGGAGGAAAGGAAGAGGGGGGGAAGGGTTGGTTCACGCCTCTGGGGAGGGAGGGGGTGTCTTTGTGACTGCCCCATCAGGAGAGGGAAATGAAGACACCCCTCTGTCCAGAGGCTTTTCAGGGAGGGAGGGAAGGAAGGGAGGGAGGGAGAGAAGAGGAGTTTGAAGGAAAGAAGGGAGGGAGAGGGAGGAAGGATTGAGGGAAGGAGGGAAGGGAGGGAAGAA